TGCCAGTCCCTTGAATCAGTGTCCCTACTTCCCCATAATGTACTATGGTCATTGAAGTCACCTAAAAGCAATAAAGGTTCTGGGAGCTGCTCTATTACTCTGTCCAACTCTCACTGATGAATATGTTCATGTGGGGGTAAATAAATGGTGCAAACAGAGATTGAAAAGCATAAATTAATCTGAACCGCCACAGCTTGAAGGGAAGTCGTCAAAGGGAGAGCAATGTATGGGTGATTGTGGGAGGTGATAAGGCCCACACCACCACAGGCACGATCCCCAGATGGGTTGTCCTTTCTTACTGTTGTATATCTCTGTATCTTAGCATGTCTGCTTGGTTTTAACAAGGTCTCCTGAAGCGCAAGGCAGGCAGGTTGATACATGTTTATTAAATCCTTGATGTTATCCAGGTTTTGATGAAAACCCCGGCAATTCCACAAAATAAATGTACCCATTATTCATGCTTGTTTTGGCGGTGTTGGTGTTTTGACTTTCGAGGCAAAAGGTGTTTCGGAAGGGATAACCCTTCTTCAACGTCCATTTTGTCTGAGTCGTCTAAGCGTCCTGAACTCATGCTTGCGATGGAACTTTGACTGAGGATCCTGGGTTTTTGCTTATTTTTCTCTTTGATACCATCTCTATGCTTGTTCTGTTGGACATTCTGTTTTCCTTTGGGCGCTGTCACTGGTGTACTACTTTTAACATCAGGTTTTTTTTCCGTGGTTTTTGGTTTCTAGGATCTTCTGTGGTTGCTACTTCTTTTTTCTGTGCAGTTATTGTGGTTTGCGTTGATACTGATCTGAATGATTTTGTTGCGGATGCATAAGATTTATTAGATCTTGGCTGATTAGAGAGAATTAGTCTTTTGGCTTCCACAAATGATATCTTTTGTGTAACTTTAATGTTTTGAATTTGTTTTTCTGTCTGCCATTTCGGGCATGATCTTGAAAAAGCTGGATGCTCGCCTTTACAGTTTATACAAAAGGGGGCAGCAGAGCAGTCTTCACTAGCGTGGCCTACCGCGACAAGAGGTCTTTTCATGTCCAAAGCGCTGACATTAAAAGCAACGCATTGGATTCGGTATATATGGCCTGACTGAACAGTTTAGGTATCCAGCTTTGATGCTTTTAGGCAGGTTAGGAGACTTGAAAGTAAGTATGACATGTTTAGTGGGAATGAGTTGACCTTCTTTCCTTATTTTGATCTTACGAGCACCACACATGTTTTGATCTGTCAACTCTTTAACAAATTCCTCTTCAGTTACTGACGGTAAGTCTATTTCAGAGATTACTCCTCGGGATGAATTTAGAGTGTTATGTGGCTTAACTACAATGTTTGCTTATCCTAATTTAGTTAGTTTCAAAACACTACTAGACTGCTTTCCAGACACAGTTTCTATCAAAAGGTCCCCAGATCAAAGTCTCTTAATATTTTTCAGGTCTCCTACAGAAGACAAAAGATGTTTATTAGAAAGGGTGACATTTCTTTCAAATCTTCAGAGCTGGTTATAATTAAGAAACATGGACAAAGTACATTTGATGCAGTGCTTTCTATGTCACTTCTTAGTCTTTTAGTCACAATCGGAGTATCGGGTACATTGTTGGAGCAGGAAGGTATAATAGTATTCATATTTAAATGGAGAAAGATTCGGGTCCAACTGCCCCACCCACCATGGAGCCCAACAAAGGGACGCAGATTAATACACCACGGCTAGCCGAACCTATACGCAATCTGAAGTCCCACAGTCGACTTTCCCAAATGCAGGTACTCCCGAAAGCTTGTTCCCAAGCCACTGACACAAGGACTAGTGACCAGTCGATTGACACCGTGAGGACAACATGGTGCCTCTCGTTTAACTGAAGCAGAGGCCAAAGCAGTGTGTTGGGGACAGTACCTTGCCCCTCAACAACCAGGACCCTCCTTTCCAGTGACACGGGTTCTCCACGCATGGCAAACACGTGGGCGGTATTCTCGCCACTCGAAGAACTAAGGGACAAGGCGGTTCCAGTTTCTTATGACGACACCGAAACCTCGGAAGAGGAAACCACATGCGAGAAGGAAAAAAAACAGGGAAAAGTTGCAGTGAAGAGGAGAGGAGGCAGAAAGATCACTGGGGCTCCAGGATTGTGACACCCGATCACCGAGACGGTAATCCCCTGAAGGATCTTCACCTGCTATGCTTTGGGCATGTTAGAACGGCCTTCACGTCTAGAGTGGCCCTACCAGGAGCTATGCTACAGACGTACTTCGCCCGTTCCACCCAGTGACACCCCTCCCCGCCACGTTGAGGCAGCATAGCAGGACTTGGGGGGGTTGCTTTTGGAGTATATTACTTCAGTATTATATTTCAGAGGGGGGGAATTAATTTCTGTTGCAATAATAACATCTTATCAACTGCAATTTATATTTGGGATGGAAGATAAAATTATAATGATAATAATAAGCCCTTTCTTCAGAGACAAACTTTATTCTATGCAGCCTGATTATGGTGTATCCCAAGTTTCTGGTATTACTTTTGTACATTCTCTGCTGCCCAAAACTGACAGCTTTGGTATTACTCTTGTGGATTCTCTGCTGCCCGAAAGTGACAATTTTGAAACATAGGAAATGGAATTAGGAATGGAAAATTGAATTAGGGCTCAACTATATCCATTTAAAAAAATTATCATTTTTTTTTCCTGCTATTTTGTGTTTTAACCACAATGAATTTTGATATCACAATTAGCATATTCGAAAATCAATACTCATTAATTTCCACATTCATACATATTTTAGGCAAAATAAAAATTAATAAAATAACAGAACAGCAACAGTGTAAAGGATTCAAGAGAGACGGAGAGATTTTGGTAATATCAGTCACTGTATACATACTGTAATAAAGATATTTTGATGAAATTACAAACTATAATACATATTGCCATAAAGATATTTTGATAAAATTGTTGGCTATAATGTATATTGCAGAAAGATATTTGTACAAAATTACTCGCTATAATGCATATTGCAGAAAGATATTTGCAACAAATTACTTGCTATAATGCATACTACAAAAAAATATTTTTATAACATTACTGGCTATAATACATACCAGTAAGATACAGCACAAAGTCCGAAATCCAGACGTCCATTATCAGGAATAATCTAAAATCCGGGCCTCAAAGCCAGAAACCTTTTTTTTTTTTTTTTTTTTTTTGTGTGTGTGTGTGTGTGTGTGTGTGTGTGTGTACTCTTCCGTAATAAAACATGTGGAGATTTTCACTTAAAAATTCCGATTCTTAATTTCACTTAGGCACTAAATAAAATACCTTGTTATGGAAAAAAAAATCATGTAAGCATAAATTTGTGAGATTAAAAATTTGGCTCCATAGCTGAGTATCTGCTTGGCATACACCTCAAACGTTTTGTTCCGTTTACTGAACATTCACCTATTTTATATCCCTGACGCCAACCTCGCGAGTCATTATTTATTATATTTTGCTTTCATCACCGCATGTTTATCAATACATGACAGCTTCAGTAATACCTCATGCAGTGATGTCTAAACTTTTTTTTATACTAGTAACTGAAAAACAAGAGTATGGCAACCTTTTACGCTAACATTACACTTGGCGATGATTATAGATTTTTAAAAGCTCTAAGAAATGTTGACGAGGAAAAATTCAACAAAAATTTCTTTTCATATGCTAAAAATAGATTTTGTTAATGAAACTCGTAAGCCAAAAGATTAAATTTAGTGCTATTTTAATTAAGAATAACTGATGTTATTCACCATAAACCAAGAAGCGACGGCAGAATATGTCGGCACCGGACAGCAGAATTTAGGGAAGACGAAATTTTTGGAATTTGGGGAAGCACCGAGCAGACAAAATTAAGGGATGAGAAGTTTTTTATGATTTAGGGAAAGCACTGGGATCCAAAGTTTAGGCACGGTGGAAAAATTTAGAACTTAGGAAAGTGCGTTTTATAGCAGAATTTATGACCCGTAGAGACTGCACCAGGTGCGGTATCGAGTAGCGGTGGCCCTTTAGATAAGTGGCCTTAAGTATATGTGGGAGTTTATTTATTCAGTACTTCGGATTAGTTCTGAAGCATGTGCAAGAAATAAACATAGGTATAGTATAGTAACTATAACTTAATACAATTCAGGCTTAATTCAGTACGCAATAGGAGCAAAATAAAATTTAGCGAAACAACTTAGGGTTTCGTCACCAATCTTGTGATACACAGCCAATAATGTATAAACATGCGCTATTAAGCTAGGCTAAAATTATCTTTACTGATTCTAAGGCATTTTAATTAATGTAGCAGACTGTGGCACTGCTCTTTGATCTTATAATTTGATCCAGCTTATTATTTTTTGCAGACTGTTGTTATTACATGGCCAGTTTTATAAAAACTAAGCTTGAACTTTCGATTATGTCGAAAAGAGTTTCCAATTTCTGGAGTTGCCAAAGTTGTTTATTGGACATCGAAACATGGTTCTAGAAAGTGAAACCATGTTTCAATACCCATTAAAAAAAAAACAAAAAAGTTGAAAGTTGCTGCAAAAAATGGATAAAGGCATATACGTCTCAAAATTATACGAGGAGTATGGCATTGAAAAATCAACTGTATAAGACATAAGAAAAAGGAATTTTTTAATTTTTTGTGGAAGCAACTTAAACAACTTACACTGAAAGAAATGTTTAATAAAGTAAACAAATAAATATTAAGCTTTTTTTGTAAATTTTGATACCCTTTAGATCATAATTGTTCTTTATTTCATAAATTATGATTTCATATTTTTAATTGTATAATTTCTGCATGCCATCTTACCAGATTAAAATTGATGATCTAATATCTGAAAAAATCCCAAATCCGGAAATGCCGAAGTCCCGAAGAGTCCGGATTTCGGACTTTGTACTGTATTTTGTTAAATTTACTCACTACATATTGCTAAATGCATTTTTACTATTTATTATAATAGATACCATTAGAAAAATATTCTGATAAAAATGACTCACTATAATACATATTGCCCAACTGCAGCTGTCCGTCTACCCAGCCTTGATTTGCAGCTAGTGAAAAATACTTGAAAGCTTTATTGTAATCCTGTTAAAAAATGCAATTAATTATACATATCTCTCTCTATATATATCACAAAAAGCTTTTTATTAAAAACATAATTATTCAAAGTATTTTTGTGCAATACACTGCTGAAAATTGATCAGTATAAAACAAAAAGTAAGAAATTTAGAACCCATTCTACAGAAAGACCCAAAAAGAGTGAAATTCAAAAAAATTCAGAAAATCTGATAAATGCAAAATGAGAAATAAAGAAATACGCAAAAATGGAAATAAGTTCTCTATTTCTTGCTTTACAATAACTACATAAGGCATTCAAAATTTCTTTACTTTCAAACAAATGTAATTCCAGTGGAAAGTTTTTATTCAACTCATCTTCGTAACCTATATCTATTTTCTAAAGAATTTAAATTTCTTAAAAACCTCTCTGATAATGATTTCAATAATTCTGAACACACTTTCAGATATAGTGATGACATTATCATGTTCAACAATAACAATATTATTAAAAATAGCAACATATGCCCTAAATGTCTTAATTAAACCAATAAAATCGATTTGAAATTGACTATCTTAATCTTAACATTCATAATCTTAAAGTAATATTTCATTCATAAAGTAATTCATAATCTTAACCTTTTTGATAAAAGAAGATAATTTAATTTTTCTATAATAAAACTTATAATCTGGTACTCCAACATCTCTAAAAAAGTTATTGAAAATACGGCTATTAATCAAATTATTAGAACTGAAAAAGTTTGTACTGAAAACAACAAGAAGAAATTGTAATTCTCACCAAAATTTTAAAAGAAAATGAAATTCCAATTAAATTCAATAACAGACTTTCAAAAAAAATCTGAAGCAGTCTACACCATATAAAAATTTTTTTAAGTATGAGTTTTTTGTCTGAAAGCTCAAATAGAGAAGGATAAAGAAGGATGTTTCAGCATTTATAGTTTTTATTTTTTTCTATTGTATCTTTTTCTTGATTTTGCTATTTTTAAATTTGGGCCCACTATATCCCAGTTGTCATAATAAGTTCATGATGTGAAGACTTTTCTAACATTTATATCTTTCCTTCTTTTTTCTTACTTTCCTCTACACCTTCCTTTTATTTAATTTTTTTAAAAATTTCTTAGAAGCATTAAATTTCCCTTTCAGGAGATTTTGAGCTAGTCTTTGCCATTGAAACCAGACTGGCAAACCTAGACATCATTCTTGAATCTAACAATTCTATTCATTGTTTCAAATTTTGTACTTTATTTTGGTATCCTCCCTTCTTTTCTAGTAGATTTTATTTCTAGAATTCAATTTTAATTTTAATCTTACACTGTGTAAAAATTTTTCTTAACTATTTACTTTATTCTCATATTTGAGACTTTCTTCAAGTGGAAGTGCTGACTATTTTTAACTATTGGATTGCTATTTCATCCTTTGAGTAAGTTTTAAATTCATTTTCTCTGTTTTTTCAATTTTAAATTCAATGAAAAGGTCTTTCTTCTTTGCATTGCAGACTTCAAAATTTTTGGATGAACTACCGTATTTACGCGAATCTAATGCGCATCGTTTTTGGCCAAATGTAGTATTCAAAATTGGGGTGTGCATTAGATTCGAGTGCAAAGTTCGCCGATGACGTCAACCAAATTTCTCGACTACATTTACCATTACATTTATCGTTGACACATTATTGCATAGAGGATACAAACTGCAGAGTACGTAGTCACGAAATGGAGGGCAAACAGAGAAGAATGTCATATGATGCTACTTTCAAACATAAAGTAATTCTTTATGCTGAAAAAAATGGCAATAGAAAGGCAGGGAGAGAGTTCAACGTAGCTGAGAGCAATGTTCGCTTGTGGCGGCAACAGAAATTGGCACTGTTTGCAACTAAGCTAGTAGAAAGAAATTCACTGGCCCTCGCAAAGGAAGACACCCTAAAATTGAAGAAAAAGTTTTGGAATTTGTACGTGAAAGGAGGAAGAATGGACAACCTGTGACTAGTGACACCATAAGAAATAAAGCAAAAGAGGAGGCTGAAGTTCTTGGAATACCAAAACAAGAGTTTAAGGCTAGCCGTGGATGGGTGGATTGGTTTATGAAGCAGGATGGGCTTATCTCTAAGACGCCGTACAACAATATGCCAAAAGCTTCCTGCAGATTTTGAGGGAAAACTACTAACATTTCAGCGGTATGTCATCACACTTCGGAAGGAAAAAGAATTTTTCAATGGGGCAAATTGGCAAACGCTGACGAGACGCCAATTTGGTTTGATATGCCTCGTAACTACACCATTACGGAGAAGGGGACTAAGGAAGTTATCATCAAAACTTCGGGATGTGAAAAACAACGCGTAACAGTGATAACAGCAGGCAATAATAATGGCAATAACAGCAGATGGGTGCAAACTTTCCCCCTTTCTTAATCTTCAAACGGAAAAACATGCCCTAAAACCCCTAAGAATGAAAAGCTGTTCCCAGATGATGTCCTGATTCGAAACCAAGAGAAGGGGTGGATGACGGAATCATTAATGCTTGATTGGCTCCGAAATGTATGGAAACGCCGTCCCGGTGGGCTCTCTAATCCACCATCAATGCTTTGTCTGGACGCATTTCGTGGTCATCTCACCGACGACGTAAAAGAGAAGATGCACAGCCTAGGCAGTGATCTTGTTATCATTCCTGGAGGGATGACGTCTGTGTTACAACCCCTGGACGTTAGTATAAATAAACTTTTTAAGGGGTACGTTCAGGCGGCGGAGTACGAAAATGGTTTTTGTGAGCCAAACCGTGTATTGACCCCGACAGGAAAAATTAAGCGTGCTGCAACCGCACATTGTTGCACACTGGGTTTCTGCTGCCTGGAAAAGCATCGAAGCACCAATGATTGTGAAATCTTTCAAGAAATGCTGCATTTCAAATGCATTGAATGGCAGTGACGATGACGTGCTCTGGAACGCCGAGGATGACGATGACGATGATGAGGAAAGAAGAAATGAATCTGCTTCTGACGAAGAGAGCTGCGAGGATTCCAGTAATGAAAACATTAGTGAATAAAAACGTTTACTATTAATCACTGATTGTAGAAACTGTTAGCTAGATAGAAATGTTACGATTTATTTCATGTTCATATTTTACAATAGGTACCGTATATACGGTAGTGCTAATTAACAATGATTGTTTCACATGACAATAGCCCACTAATAGGTTAATTCTATGTTCTGCTGCTTTATGTATAAATCCATTGTTGTATAAAATATGGTATCTAAATTTAAATAAAATTATCATACCATGCTTATATACAAATCCATTGTTGTATAAAATAAGATTCAATAAATTCCTCATATCATTGATGCGCATTACATTCGCCGACAAACAATTTTTTTATTATTTAAGTTTTAAAATGGGGATGCGCATTAGATTCGATGGTGCATTAGATTCGCATAAATACGGTATTATATTTAAAAAAACATTAGAATAGTTCATCAGCTTATTTTGCATACAGAAACGTGAAGGCTTTCAAGTGGAAAGAGGATTGCAATTGGATCTGATGTATCCTTCTCTTGAGAACGTTACATTAAATTAATTGACTTGATTAATTGACTCTTTTTTCTTTTTTTCTTTTTTTTTTTTTCTGGTACTGGTATATTTATTATTTATCAGTTTTAATTTTATATTTCTTTAGTTCTCATTTTATATTTATTGGATTTTTTAAAATTTACTTGAATTTCACTCTTTTTTGGTCTTTGCGTACAATGGGTTCTAAATTTCTCACTTCCCCCCCCCCCTTTCTCTCTCTCTCTATATATATATAATCAAACGAATGAAATGGGAATACTACCAAAAATGCCAATGAAGTAAAAATTAGGAAATACAATCTGAAGCCACATTAATTCCAATCAACTAAGTCATAAATAGAAAATAAAGTAAAAAATTGAAAAAATAAAAATTAATTTTAAAAAACCAAAAGGTAAAATAAAATTAGAAAAGAATTTTTAAATATTGTAAAAGAAAAAGTGAAGGATGGAAAATCTGTCTTTCAAGCACTAGGTAATAGTTGCGAAAAAGCAAATTCAATTGAGATACAAAAATTTAAATGCAAATTAAACAAAAATTTTATTAATATTACACAAAAATGAGCAGTTGAAAAGATAACAAAATAATGCTGACACATCAGAGTAAATTAGGTTATTTCACCTTCTTCCCAACTGCTCAGAGATAGTGTTTTGTCCTTGTTATGCATATGTAATTTAAAAATTCTCTATGCTTAAATTTTCAATGTCTCAAATTTAGCTAACTCAAGTGCATGTTAAAAATTCTTCAACATGACATAAATCGTTTAAAACATTCATAACATCAATAATGAGATCAAAACATGTAAAAAATGTGTAAACAAAAAGATAATACCCTATATTACAAAAACTTCAAAAATATTCAATTAAATTTAAAATAATAATAACAAATTAGGCCATAAAAACTTTTCACAGCTATGATAAACTTTCTTTATTACAACATATAGTGAAACTAACAGCGAACAGTTTTTTTTTTTTTTTTTTTTAATTCCAAGAAGAGGCGTGTTTGTTCTGCAGTTGCTAGATTTAACAGAATGTTAAAATTAATTATTTAAGCACGTGAAAAATTGTAGTTATCTATGGCATGGCCAGACAGTGTGACAAGCTATTACTTCAACAAAGTAAGTCTTTATTTAAAAGTAAGTAAATCCATTTCTAAAATTTCTGCCAAAAAGTCATAAAATACAAAAAAGGAACAGAGAAAAAGATAAAAATCTTCACGAAAAATGAGCTGTAAATGCAACTTCAGAAAATAAATGGCTTTTAGTAAAAGCTTAGAAGCCAGAAATAGAGAATATTTTACATTTTTACATCGTGCTGTTTTACCATTTGTACAAAACATTTTGCTTTCAAATTACTTCAAAACATCTTTCAAAATATAACTTACCAGTATGGATGCACACTTTTAAAATAATTCTACTTTAATTAAACTTATGAGATAATATAATCAATTAATCAATACTGTTTAGGAAATAAATTATTATTAACTAACTTTGCAGCAATTGCGCAAGTAATAATAACTTGTATTCGCACTAAATGGATTTAAGTTCATACAACATTATATATATATATATATGCAAGATAAAAAATTCATACTTTACAATTTAATTTAATAATAGCCTCTTAATTCCTCATTTTTAATCTGGGTATTTCCTCTTTATTTCTAAAAAAATTAATAACATTTCTGGACTACGTAATTTCTAGATAAATCTATGGTAGAGCTGCTTATGCTCACCAACGCTTATGACGTAATTAATTTGGAATTCTGAGAAATGAAACTTTTCTAATCCAAACCAAAACTTTCCTCTTGATGAGCTGCCATACTGGATAAATGTGTCACTTTTATGTGTGGTTTAATTGTTAAATGTATCACTGTTTGTGCTCTCTTCCTGTTGCAATAAGCCCCATTCACGAGAGCAGATTCGACCGGTAGGGAAAACCGGTTCTTCCAACGTGTCCCGTTCACATGGGACAAGCATTAACTGCCTCGCCGAATTGGAGGTAGAATTTGGTTGAATGCTCCTTACCTATTGGGAGCAGGGCAAATGGGGAGATTTCCCGTACTATACTGCGCGGTTCACTTAATTTTAGTTACTGCTCGCTGGACTGTCAGCGAAACAATCGCGCTGACAGATGTCTGGATGGGGATGTGATAGCATCCCCCCAAAAATTAGATAGAACTGTACAAGATACAGAAATTATAGAAAAATACAGACAAGGTTATCTCATAATTCCAGAGATATCGTTCAAATTAAAACTAAAGTTAAGACAAGGTCATATGGGCTTCAACGCGACAAGGGACTAGGTAACCTTTTGAATGATTATTTTAAAAAAAAAATTAAGCATTTTCATCTACTTTTTATAAATATTATTAAATGGTTTTGTGAGACAAAATAATTTTAAGCTTGAAAAAAAGTTTTTATTAGTAATTTTTTTAATTTAAATTTTTGAAGAAAAATTTTACAATTAAAATGTTTTTCTGTCTCCTCCCAGTCTTTTTATTGTATTTATTAGTTCTTAATAACTTCAAGGAATAATTTTGCAATTAATGAATTAGTTTCAGAGAAAAAATAAAAATGCACTTTTATCTAAAATCTTTAAAACAAATATGATCTCAGTCACATTTTCATTTCAAATAACTTTTCCTTTCAGCATTTTGCAAAACCCATCCTTGTTTCTATAAAGTATATAATTTTAAATAAGCAGTAAAAAAATAAAAAATAATAAAAAATAATAAAGCAGTAAAAATAATAAAAAATTTAGTCCATACCTGTATATGTTTTAGGACTTTAAGTAAAAGGATTTATTGAAAAAAAATGCAAAAGGTTTCTCAGTTTGCAGTTAAAGAATACAAACTGTCTAAACAGACATTAATCATTTCAAGTTTTCTTTAAAATTTTATTACTGAATTTCAATACGCACCAAACCTAGTGCTATTTATTCAGTTGGTAAATATAAATTAAATAAAATTACAAACCTTTTTTTAAAACCTTATGTGGCCAGAAAAATTGCAAAAACTCATAAAACGCAAGCAGAATTTTTCTTTACCTGTTTTTGTTTTGTAAAACATGTTCAAAACAATTTTAATACATTAATTAATTATAATATTGTTGCGTGCGTACCGGTTTCTAAAAGATTGATAATATTTCGTAAATGATTGTCATTGCACTCAAATCCGATGATAGCTTAATTAAATTTATTTTATCAACAGAAACATTTCAAAGTTCTGGATGTTCTACAGAAATACTCGTACAAGTGTTTAGAATATCACTAAGTATAATCAGTAGTTATGCTTCAATCTAATAAGAACGTTAAACACAACGGAATGCAAAACGCATCTTAAGAGAAAATTAACTCAGAAATATCTCCAATCTCACGCTGAACTAACAACTGGCAACAATAACAAATTATAGAGCATAAATAATGTCATAAAAATAGTTTGGTATAATGAGATTATTACTTTGAAACCGATGTTTCTAACTGATGCCCAAGAAGAACCAATATTTCCCATTCTGCTTCACTGCATATCTTTCAAAAAAGTAAAAGAATCATGCAATTAATTTCCTTTATCATTTTTTTAAATGCGAAAAGTTTGTTTTATAAGCTGTGAAAATGTCGGAAGTTTGTAAGCGATATATTTTTAGATATGAAATTTTAAAATTAATGGGCGTCAAAAAGTCTAAAAATATGAACGATTTTCAAAAATTCTCCAAAATATTTTTAAAAAATATTACGCTAAAAATTTCATTTAATTTTTTTTTTGTCCTCCACAGTGTGTTATGGTGCAAACTATAATATTCTGACATTCTCAGTTTATTTGTTAATATTTGCAAAAAATCGTTTCAGCTTTAAATTTGAAAAAAAATCTAATCCTCTAAAAATCAAAAGCGTGACATCACATCCACAAGCAGTGTAAGTACAAAGTTTGAGTTTTATATCTTATCGGGAAGCAGTTTAAAAATCCATGATCATCTTTTAACCATAGCGACAAGCACCAAGAGTGAACTAAATAACAGCTTATAAAATAATAATAATAATAATTAAAAAGCATATATTTTTCAGGAACCATTACGAAAGTTCAGGTACCAGTTGCGAAAGTACAAATTACAAAATTAACAACATTAAACAACGTTAAAAATGTGTAAACAGTATTAGAAATCTGCCAATTCGGAGACGTGATTGTTCACAGAGGCTTAGGTGCAAAGGGAAGGAAGAGGGTGGTCTTCTGAACGGGTCCTAAAGACGAAACTCTTCCATGTCTCCTTTTTCTCCTCCTGCTAACGGCAGCTGTGCCAAGGAGCATTGCATGTGAACGGGGCTATAGTATTAAAAAATGTAATGTTCTGGAGATAGGCATGATTAGAGTGCCAAGTGAATTGTGGCCACAAATATCAGTTTAAACAAAAATGGAATTAAAACTGTCTCAACTGTCAAGTTTCTTAGCAATTACAAATTCTACATACTGAATATCAAGTATTTACACCACCAGTACATTTATTCTACATTTTCTGCATTTCTACAATCTACATTTACAGTACCTTTCAGTGTTCCTACATCCGTATTTCTGTAATTTGCTTTCATTGCATATATATATGCAATTAATTACACATACACACTTAGAATGTAAAATATTAAGGAATGCAAGTAAGCAAAAAAGCATTAAAAATTGAAGATATACAAATCATTGAGGAAAATAAGGAGGTTTTCTTACCTTAAGGAAAAAAGTGTTATTATGTACAGAATTTGATGCAAAGTCTGTATACATTTCTTTTTCATAAAGATCACATATTAAAAAATAGTGAATGAACATTTTGTTTCACATTTGAAACAATTATGTAATCAGTCTTATTATCAATGATTTTTTTTCCAACCTACTGGGAAAATTTTCAATTCCAGACCTGAGGACAAAAAAAGTCTTTAATATAAAAAAAATTAGAAATAATAATTTTGATTTTTTTTTTAAATTTTGCAATGACCCAAATAATAATCGGAAGGTGCAACATCAGGTGAATAAACTAGGTGTGCTAACTAACACACTCCTGCCCAATTCTTTTATTCTGTCCAGTCTTCCTTACATAATCAACTTCTAGAATTACATTATCTGTTAACAACGGATAGATACTTTTAAATCAATAATTGGTTTACTCAATCTAATAAAATTAAATACAATCTACAATAAAAGTTTGCAGTTATCTGGCATGGTTCTAACACCTAAAAATGGATTATTTTGAAGCATTCCACAAAACAAACAACAGTTACTTTTTACGGGTTTCTTTCTACCTGGCTTTGGGTAAGTAATAGGGTTTCACTAGGAAAAAGCTAGTCTTTTTTACATTTCAGACTGGCATAAAAGACACTTTTTTTTTAATCTTCAATCACTATGCAATCAAGAAATTCTTCTGCATTGTATCGACAGAATACATAGATGAAGGTCCAGAAATGCACTAATATGTAATATTCATCAGTTACACACTGTATGTAAATTGGTCAAAGAAAGACTGAGATCCAGAAATGCATCAAATGTACACTGATCGAGATTAGTCTGACTTACCTTTGGTACACCTTTACCATGGAGATGCATCAGTCCCAAGCCGCTTTGGCCAACAGGATTATTCTTTAGGGGGGGGAAAAAAAATTAACTATAAAATACAGTATCAGATATTCATCACTAATTAAAAGACATGATTAAAAATTAATCTTTACCACCTAAATAAAACTAAATTACAAAAACACAGAAAAATTTAAATCTGAAAGGGTCAATCTGAAACAATCACCTAAGATAGTTCTTTTAAAATTTAATACGGCTTATCGATAGAGATTATTCACAGATGTGGCTCAGGTGAAATAGTAAACCATTTTGTAGGCTATTAGATCAACAGGCATTTAGACTGTTAAATGATAGGCATTTACATATTAAACATTATATATACACACACACTGGCCAATGAATTAGAAAACTTCAAGATTTTCATTTGAATGCATGCTAGAGATGTAGTATGCAGATTTTTTTATGAAGTGGGTTACACATGGTTAGAATGCTGGTATAAGTAAGGTTAAGTGTGCTTTTCATGATGAATGAAGTAAAATGAGAAAAACAACAGATCTTTCATCATCTAAAAAAAGGCTTATTGTTGGTGCCCATTTAGCATGGGCCTCGATTTTGAAGACAGCAAATCTCACTGGGTTCTCAAAAGCAGCTATATCAAAAGTTTTCAGACATTAGAATCAGAACCCACAGTCCTTCTCTAGAAGATGTAACTGTGGTTCAAACACAGATTTCCAAGACAGTGATCGGTGGAGTCTCCAACGAATTGTACGGCAGAAGGCGGCATCTCCAACGAATTGTGCGGCAGAAGAGGGCCTCTTCTGTGCTTCATCTGACAGAGATCATCAACCGAGGCTCTTCCTAACAGATTTCAGCTCGAAACATGCACAGAGAATTGCAGAGGATAGGAAGGCATAGTCGGGTGCCTGTGAGAAAAACCACTCATTTCTGCCCGACAAGCATTCATTTGCAGTGGTGTCAGGAAAGAAGACACTGGACATCTGAAGACTGGAACCAGGTAATGTGGTTGGATGAAGCATGCTGCACCTTATTTTGTACTGATGGAAGACGTCGAATTTGACGAGAACCCCATGAAGCAATCTTGCCTTACTCACAGTGTGCAAGGATATGTGCAAGGACTGGTGGGAGTATCATGATATAGGGCATGTTCTGCTGGCATGAAAGTGGTCCCCCTGGTGTTCCTCGAGAGTAAACAAACAACCATGTTATACCTAGGTATACTGGCAGATCAAGTGCCCCCTGCAATGCTGCATTTTTACCCTGACAGCGACGGATACTTCATGGATGATAATGCAACTATAGATGGTGCCAGAAGTGTTCAAAATTGGTTTGTTGAACATCAGTCTGACTTCCATCCAACACCTTCCCAGGCCATTGCATAGCCAGGATCTTAACCCCATAGAAAATGCCTAGGATATGGTGGAAAGATGCATCTGATAGCACTCTCCTCTTCCATCTAATTTACAAGATCTAAAAAGCTACACAGCCAATGCATAGTAATCTCTGGACATAAATGCACTTCAAAAGCATACAGATTCAATGCCCAAATGAATCAGAGCAGTTACCCATGCAAAAGGCAGTCCAATAAAATATTGATTTTGGGTTTATAACATTTTTCTGAATGGCAACTGACTTGAACATAGACTGAAACAACATAAAATCACATTTCGAGATTAATGGCCCTTTTAGGCTAATTATATTCAATATCTTGTTACATTACTTTACTCTTTAGACGATGTTTTGTTTCAGAAGATAATGAACAGAAATTTTAATTTTTACAAATTTATACAGAGAGTAAAAAATGTTCATGAAATCAAAAGTTCAAGGACCAAGGTTCATAACAATGAAAAATGCAGCAGCGGATTGACAGATTGTGTGCCGGCATGCGATCGATATGGCAACTCAAAGGGAATGGTGACACCGCACAGAACCGACTGCCTCTCTGCTGGCGGAGAGTCAAGAACGCAGCTCAAAAACAATTCTGACTCTGTGGTGTTAATCATATGCAGGTAATTTAAAAGTTTGATTAAATTCTTTCCAACTTAACTATGTGTCATGTAATCCTAGGCTGTATTATGGATGACCAATGCATGCCAGTGTTGCTTCTACACCATATGATTTTTGCATAATGTCTATCTAATCTCCAGTGGCTACACTACGCCATTTTGACATTATGCAGTGTTAATCACATGATAATTCTGTGATATTTTATAATAATTACACAAGCCTATGATAATTCTGTGAAAATAACAAATGAGCATAAATTCTCAACACCCCTGTGAGAACCATCCAGGAACTGAAAACAGTGTATCTTTGCTGAATGAGTGAACCAGTTGCCACAGGCATTAATAAACTACCTTATTTCCAGTATGACATCACAGTGCGAGGCCTTTACGGCTGTAAGAGGAGACCATACCCCCTATTAACCCATTTCTTTTGTATCTTCTGCAACTGCTGTTTCAAACCTTCAGACTCATGAGTGTTACACATGAATATGTGTGTCTATTATAACTATTGAATGCTTATTTTGTTTGTATTATATCAAACTATGTTCACACTAAATTTTATTAAAATCTGTCCAGTAGCTCTGGAGATCGTAGATCAAATATGCAAATTCTCTTAATTTTTTTCACCAGTGTATTTATTCTTAGACCAGTGTATTTATTTATTAAAATGGTATTTTTTAATTCAAACATACTGTACAATGCCAGAATAAAGAAATGATTAAACCAACAATGAATTTTAGTCCTGCTACCTAAAAAATAAATAACTAAAAAGCAGAGGATCATATACATCATTACTGAAAAATGGGATAATGAAGATATTTGAAGGAAACGGTAAACTATGCTAACACTCTGTTCTTTCCTTCTATATAAGGTTAGCATATTTATTATACTAAACTTGACCCACCAGTGGCCAAGTGCTTACAAACAGCTGAGTACTGGTAGTTCATCCCAGGTGAATGGACTAGCTACATGGTTGGTTTTTGTAAATAACCTTTGTGTACTTTGACATATTAAAATAATGAAACCAAACCAAATTATACTAACATATTTATAATTACTTTCCCTCTATGTAGAGTTACATATTATATTATGCTCATAGGGGTTTGCCGTATTATATTATACTTGCTAAAAGGTGGAATAAAAATTAGCAAGGGACAGCTCATCTTCATCTGGACTTTGATAAAAATTTTGGGACAATGTCACATTAAAAGCAATCGTTAAAATGTGGCAGCCAGGAACTGTGTGCAAGAAGTAAACATGAACTCTGTGCCATAATAAAGGACACTGTAAACATAAGATCGCAGAAAGAAACATTTGAGGGAAAGAAACGCAAATATTGTAATTCATTTTTGGGTACAGTTTTATACCAATTTTTGGGAGTTGGAAGTGCTACAATTTTATTCTCAATTTTAAAACGGCAAATTAAAGGTACCTTTTCGGCAGCCATCGTAAAATACTTCAGTGCTGTTTCGTTGTTCTGCTTCACGACGCTACCTCCTTCCAAATACATCTACAACAAAAATAGAATGTTAAAGACTGCAAGACATAGAAGGACTGATAAAATATAAAATTTAAGTAAAGCGTTATATAAGTATTTGGCATACCTTTCCCAAAAATGCCATAGCGTTGGCATTGCCAGCATCTGCGGCTTGCATAAAATAATTCAATGCACGCTGAAAGATAAAACTAGTTATATTTAGTGAAATAAAAAAGGAAATTTTTGCTTTCCCCCCTCTCAATAATATGCCTGAACATCTGAAAACTTTGTACGTAAAAATTAGAAAACTGTTTTTGAAAACTTCAGAAAAAAAGCATTCAGTGAATTTTACAGAGAAAACTGATATATAACTGAATATTTAAAACTATGTAAAAAAGCAGCCTTAGTTTGGTTCAAACTAAATCTAACAATGAAAAAATAATTAAACACATAAATATTTTGCTAGTGCCTAAAACAAGGTTGCTACTCAAACAGAAAAATCTGATGTGTACACCACATGACTTCCTTGCACGGAATATTAAATTATGTACATTTTTTTCTTGCATTTCATTTAAACTTATTGGATTGAATTAAATCTACATCGTCTATAGCGTATAAACCACAATAGAATAAATGCGTTTTTAAAATTCACTATATTTGTTTACAGTAGCGACACTCTGGCGCTAGGTTCACTTTACAATGTTACATTTCGTCCATATTTTAACTCAGAATGCATATAAATTTATATCATTTGAAGAATTATCTAATTGTTGCCACATGTTATATTGAAATACTATAATAAATCTAAAATGATGTATAAAAGATGTAAGGATTATGTTAGTTTATTAACATAAATGTAATTAAGTTCTTTTCCTATCAAATTCTTAACTTCAACTTACTACTTCCGGCCAGAACATAGTTTTGGAATCACTCTGAATACTTAAGGAGGAGATGTATTTAAACCGCGAAGTTCTACTTGCTGAGTTAGAGAGAATCAGAATTTCTGAGTTGCGCGAGTCTGCCTTTTGGCTACTCTCTCTCAAAGCTATTATTACGCTCGGTTGTGCTCAGGCCCTCGTTAAGCTTTGTAGTCAAATACAGTTAAGGAGCCAACTCGATTAGAATCTTGATAGCTTCGGCTATATCTCTTTAGTTAATCATAGTTTTAGTTTATTTCTTAGTCTCTTAAGTTCAAGCCCAAGTGTCAGCTTTTATTATACACTCCAAGACAGAGTTTTGGTAAATCTTATTGGAATAATAAAGGGTTAGTTACCCTTCCATCTTGTTGTTTCTTGTCACAGGAACTTAAGCGATTATTCGCTAATTAGGTCTTAAGGTTACTCACTTTTGACTGCAATTACACGGTGGTAATCCTCACAAAGAAATTAAGCAAACAAAACAAAAAAGAAACAGTTTTTCACAGACGATTCAGCATTTCTCATTCAATTAATTCAGTTTTCACTTCCTGACAAGGCAAAAATTCATAAAAACTCAAAATAACTATATTAAAAATTATGTAGTAAATCTGAAACACTTATTTCCTCGAATAAATTCCAGAATGGATTAAGCATGATTTTTAATTTGCAATAATAAAAGAAGGCGTTATCTTTATTGCTGTGAAGCTTAGTTTCTCTAGAATGGTAACAAATCCGCTATTTTGCCAAATTTAAAATGTAAACAAACATGTCCGCCATCGCAAAATTCATTAGGCTTAGCTGCACTTAAACAACTTTTAAATTGTTGATAACTCCACAAATATTGCATGCAATAACCCTAATCAAAAGATAAGAACCACATAATTCAATCATTTTTAAAGCAAAAAATGCAAAATTTACAAACATATAAGAATAAAGAAACTGAGCTCACTGAGCCAAGTAACAGAGTGGATATATACAGTACAAAGTCCGTCATGCGTAAAGCATACAAAAAAAAAGTTTGTGGCTTTGAGGTTCAGATTATAGATTATTCCAGATAATGGACGTCCGGATTACGGACTTTGTACTGTATATACATATATTTATATACTTTTGGTGTGGCCGATTGCAACCAAAATACGAGGTGTACATCTACATGTTATAGCAGTCTATATACAAAATTTCAACATTCTGAGGCTACTTACTCGTTTTTGAGTTATGTGAGATGCGTACATACATACAGACACCACGAAAATCAGAACTTCAGAATTCATTTTAAAACAGCTTTATAATTTTTTTGGAAGAAAAGAGTCCTTACTTGTGGATGTCACACAAAAGCATCATTAAAGTGCATTGGATAGTGGTTAAAATTAATATTTTCATTGAAATATGATAACCAAAATTTTTCGCGATTACAATACTTCCTTTTTACTTCGTACAAGTAAGTAAAAATGAAATTCTCCGACTTGGGAACTTCATTATATTTTAAGAAAATTTAAGTATAGCTGCATAGTTCATGTTAACTATAGTGAGGGTAAAATGTGTATTTTAAAAAGATTGTGTTTTAAGAAAATTTAGTGTTTTAAGAAAAGCATGGTCCAAGTGTGTTTTAAAAAAATTTCAGTCTAACTGCAAAGTGCACACTTACTATGCTGAGGGTAAAGTTTGTGTTTAAAGAAAGATTAGTGTGTATTTTAAGAAAAGTGTGGTCCAAGTGTGTTTTAAGAAAATTTCAATCTAGCAGCATAGTGCACATTGACTATGCTGAGAGTAAATTAATTATGGTCGAAAGCACAAAAATTTGCTAATTACATATGACTTAGATTGGGGGGGGGTGACTTACTTACTTTTGAATCTCCAAAGGGTTACTACTAGAACTAAAACAGGAGTTGTTCTCCTCAATAGCTGTCAGTTTAAATTTTTTCCCAAATAAGAAAACTTGCAAATAATTCTATTTGTATACTAAACCACATTCTCTTTAGCAATCAAGTGTATTGCAAAATAAATCCAAATAAATGCCCTTTTCAATTACATAAAAAGAGTACAAAATACCAGGAGTGATTGTCAGTGTATCTGAAATATTTGCAGTCACTGACACCGAAAGACATTTATAGTAAAATATCAACACAAATATAATTAGTTAGAAGTATAACTTAAAAATTACTTTTAAATGCATGAAAACATATATTTACAAAAGAAATGATCTACTTACAATACATTCCATCTAAGTAATAAACAAAATCAGAAATGAAATTCATTGAATTTTCAAGGGTAATCAATGCTTTTAAACATTAGATTTTTTTTTCATCATTAATTATATAAAAATTATGATGTTATGTTATCAATTCTATTAAATAATATATAATTGCCAAACAATCATCTCCATAATATTAGGACAGTTGCTAAATTCTGACAGGTGAAAAAAGCGTTTTTTTTTTTTTTTTTTTTTTTTTTTTTTTTTTTTTTTTTTTTTTTTTTTTTTTTTTTTTTTTTTTTTTTTTTTTTTTTTTTTTTTTTTTTTTTTTTTTTTTTTTTTTTTGTTTTTTTTTTTTTTTTTTTTTTTTTTTTTTTTTTTAAGGTCAACATACTTTTGATGAAAAACTTTTAATATAAACATACATAATACAAATTAAATGCAATGTTTAAGTAGCATTGAAAAGAATTCAGAATAAAAAAAGTACATTTCTTATGTGGGAGCGGGAAGATAAAGATAACAGAAACTAATTATTAATAATAGAATAAAGCAAAATATCTCTTGAATAATTATTACAAATAATAGAATAATAAACTTAATTACTAACAATGCAATAATACTAATAACAGGCAATGCAATAATACTAATAACAACAGCAACTAATTGATAATAATAGAAACTAATAGTAGAACAAATAGTGGACTAATTTAAACGAAACATTAGCAGATGAAACTTATTTCTTCCCGCTGATTTTTCTCACAGACTTTTTTTAGATGTGGAAGGAAGTTGTCAACCCTGACCCATAATCAGTCTATGACAAATAGAAGTTGCTTTTTTGCCCAATTGTAAACAGGTGTATGTTACAGACTAGACCTACTACTGCATCACATGAAAAGGCTGGCACTTACTGCATGATCTTGTTCGACTCCACGCCCACCTTGGTAATGCAACTGACCCAGACCGACCTAAGAAAAAAGGGACTACATAATTTTTAGGTTATTCAAATAAAGGAAATAATTCATAAGGTACAAAAATATTTTATGATGATTTGAAAGCTTAATCCCCCTACTTGTGCCTGGACGTCTCCTTTGTCAGCTAAAAACTGATAATACTGAATGAGGTCATCGTCCAGAATTCCAGTCGAGGCCCCTATATTTTCTAGTTCATCGTACAGTCTGATACGCTGAATGACGCTGCCGCCGCTAGTTGATAATTCTTCCTCAACTGTATTTTAAAAAGAAAATTCCAAATGCACATAAATATTTCTGGGCACTGGCATTAACTAAATGCTTCACACTAGTTAGTGCTAGTTGCATATGTTTAGAGCAAAGTTCATTTCAATACATTAAAAATAATATTCATCCAAGGAAAAATTTTTCATAAGCATGAAATTATTCAAGTTCTTTACAATGGCAGAAATCATTTGTTTATAAAAATTTATTTACCCTGTTACATGCATATGGATTCCTAATGGACTGAATGTATACAGAACCAATGATAGCTTTAAAAAATTTATTTCCCATAAGAAACACTTTGTATTTCTGGAGCTTTTCACAAAAATACTCATATAGCTCTTCTCAGTAGGACAGAGACACAATTAATAGTTACAACCTCAAAGTACTAATAACTTTGGACACAACAAAATGTAAAGCACTAAACAGCAAAGCTCATATGGATATATCTCAATACTCTTAAGTCAGCTTTGAACTAAAAACTGTGAACTCATGCTCTCTCTGGTTTTACATAGTTTCCTCAGGCCATTGAGGAATTTCCAGTACTTTCCATTTCTCAAAATTACTATACATTTCAATTATTAATATACATTTAAAGTTACATATAAGGACCAGGCATGGTTACAGTTACACATAAGGATCAATTACAGTTATCCAATAATAGTACCAATCACAGTTATACATGGACCAGACCAAAATCTCATTACATCGTAACTAAGTTTGATGACTTTTGGCAAATTCTTGCCAAATTTGGAGATAAAAATTAGTTGTCAAAACTAATCGCTGGTGAGATATTGTCAGGTTAGTGATATCTCGCCAATTTAGGGAGATAGCCAGTTACCTCAACATTAAATAAACTTGACTCTGTAGTCTTATTTGGGAGGGGGAGTTTCACTCTTGAGGCCTTTCATGTTACATTATACAAGAGATACTCGTAATTTTAAAAATAATTCTACTAAAATTATTTGCATATATACAAAATTAATAACAATATACAATTCCATAATTTTTGGATAATGTTCGTTTTAACATCCTTTATACACATTTGAATATCCTTTATTCAATAAAGAAAAGGTGGGTTTTTTTTTTTTTTTTTTTTTTTTTTTTTTTTTTTTTTTTTTTTTTTTTTTTTTTTTTTTTTTTTTGTGAAACACTTTTACACAAGCATAAACTTTTTTGACTTTCTCTGCAAAGGGTGAAATTATTACATAGGAATATTTTCTGAGATATAGTTCCATTATTTTTGGACAATGTTACCAGGTTATTTTACATTTGATTAATTCTATAAGTTTAAGAAAAGTGTTCACCTTATGAAACAATTTTATGTAGCAGGAAGTTCCTTTGTAATGGCAGAATTTGTTTTGTAATTCCATTACTTTTAGATAATGTTCATCTGAACATCCTACATTTAATGCACAGATCAGCAACAAATTTGGAACAAAGTTCATCCAAAACAATTTTACATAAGGAGGCAATTTTTCCTTGTACTTTTCAATAATAGAAATCATCATAACAGATGATTTCCAAGGATACACAGTAACACATAACTTGTTACACTCGCTGGTTAAAACACAGCCGCTTATTATGTTTAAATTTCCAGGAAACAAAACAAACACACACTAATCAATGGGAAAACCATCGTTTATTAAATTCATCCCCATCGCTTATGAACTATTTGAAGGGCGGTGGTTATCTACAGTAACCACATTTTCTATTGAACATCTTACTCACTCGTGCGAGCAGTTTTCAAGACTGACCACTTTTGAAATTCCCTTGTAGCTCATTAAATGGCAATCAAGAAACATAAGGTAGTAGCTGATGCAGCAGTTCGGCTTCAAGAAGAAAAAGAATCAGCCATCGAAGACAGCATCACGACGATGTGCAGCACCAAAAAAAAGCCTGTAAAAACAGTGTGGGAATGCAACACGTGAAAAGCTACACTCTGCTTGAAAAAGAAAAACTGTTTCCATGAGTACCATAGACTGATTTGTAGGGATGTGTTCAGTGGGCGCTCATCCTGACACTAACCACCAGAAGTGGCCATTTTTTTCACGCATCCTAGGACAAAATATGTGTAATAATTGTTGCAAATAATTTCATTGTAACACCTGATATAGAAAATAAAACAAGAGTTTTGCTGGAAAAGTTAATTGCCTTTTCCTGCCCCTCAAAGAGTTAAACTCAAAGGCAAAGACTAAATTTTCAGTGACAGAATATCCTGTTTGTACCTGTCAAATCTGTTTTGTAGTTCATCAATTTAACATACTATGGCTTGGATTGTGGCTTTATTATAGTTCAGGTACGCAATGCTTCAATAAAGCAAGTTTGCCAAAAATTATTTACTCCCCTGGTCCCTCTACCTATGAGACACTGTTTTCAAAGTCCTTTGTCAGAACTGGATTTCTGAGTACCAGAATTCCCTTATCTTAAAATCAACAAAACTAAGGCACTGCAAATGAGCGAGTGTTCATTCTCGAATACCAGCTGGTAAATGGTGAAAGTGTAATTTCTGTATCCCATGTTTTAAGGTTCCCATCTTCATAATCCTCATCTCAAATACATACATTATGTTCATAGAGAGTTCTAAAGAATTTTGTGAAATGCTTCTAAGCATTACTGTATGTTAAGAGTCTTTGAATGGAAACAAAATGGTAACTGTAGACTGAAGACATAACAAAGAAAGCATTGGCCATGCTTGAAATTATGATGTGGCAGATTTACTGAATAGACAGGGCAGTCTTTCTGCAAGAGAAAGAAAGCATTGGCCATGCTTGTAATTACAACAGGCAGATTGACTGAACAGACAAAGAGCAATCTTTCTGGTGGCTGGAAATGCAAATTCTGGGATTTAATTAAATCACTGGTGGAAGAAGCTTTTTCCCCCCTTTTTTAATTTGTTGTGTGCTTAACTTGTAACTTCTCAAATGCAAAGTAAAAAGACTTAAACCTGAAAGAAAATGATTAACTGTTAATATTTTTTAATGTTCTTGGAAATTGCAGCCACAGAAAAATACACTTAAATTAGAAATTTCTCAAACAGCATTGTACAATTTGCTTAAACAAAGAATTATAATTAATAAAAAACTAACAAAAATGTATGCTTCAAGGAAGAGCAAAAAATACAGAAAGTTGAGAAATGTTGAAATTGCTTTTCTAGAATAGTTTTCAAGCCATAAAGCTCATACATATTTCTTTTTTCACAGCTTTTTTCACTAATTCACTAAGTAATAGAAGAGAATTTTATGTCACCTGACATATAGCTCAAAAATTGGAGAAAGAGAAATCCAACACTACTTATCACAAATTGCATGTTAAGAAGGAAGAAGCAGATCAACATGTAGCTGATAATTGGATAAAAGATGCTTTATTTGGGATCCTAATAGATACAAGTCACTCAAAATTTATAATACAGACAAACCTGAAATATGTTATAGAACATATACTGAAATTTAAAAATGAAACAGAAGTTTGTTTCAGAAACTGAAGAAATAAGTTATATTTTATTAATATGCAATACAGACCCCAAAATTAAGAAGACAGAAGCAGAAACCCTAATGCTCAAAAACAGTCAAGAATTTACTGCTGACTTAACCATAACATTAAAAACTCATGGATGGAAAATAGTATTTTTACTGATTTTCTTTTGAAATGGGACAGCGAATTGAAAAATGAAAAAACAGCTGCGCAGCAGAAATATTTTTTGAAAAGCACCGGTGTCTCTTCTTGCAAATACAACTTCTAACATTAAAATTTTAATTTTAGGCTATTATACAAGCTTTCAAATGTCACCTCAGAAAAGATGTTCAGTAAATGATGAAGAGAATTAAATTTTGTGAAAATGCAAGCACTTCGTAGAAGATAAGTAAGTTGATACCTCTGCTAGAGCAGAGGCTATGCATGATATGATAGTCAATGCAAGAATTAGTCTCTTAAAATCATATAAAAACTGTAGCTTTTACATAGAAAAAAATTTCAGAGGAACTGTGAACTAATGTTTCAGATATTAGTGAGGAAATTATGAGGATTCATTTCTGGAATATTTGTCAATTTACTACAATACTAAGACAAGGTGCATAAATGTTGACTATGAATTCATGAAAAGAACTGCGGAAGCTCACAGTGAAAGTAACGACATCCCATAATCAATCAAATCCAGAAAAGAATTGCAAATTCTAAGAAAAATTCTTGAACTGAAAGTTACAGATAAAAAAAAAAAAAAAAAAAAAAAGTTATATTAGTGAGGAAATTATGAGGATTCATTTCTGGAATATTTGTCAATTTACTGCAATACTAAGACAAGGTACATAAATATTGACTATGAATTCATTAAAAGAACTACAGAAGCTCACAGTGAAAGTAACGACATCCCATAATCAATCAAATTTAGAAAAGAATTGCAAAGTCTAAGAAAAATTCTTGAACTGAAAGTTACAGATAAAAAAAAAGAAAGTTATATTAGTGAGGAAATTATGAGGATTACTTTCTGGAATATTTGTCAATTTACTGCAATACTAAAAGTTGAATATGAATGCATTAAAAGAACTGTGGAAGCTCACGGTGAAAGTGGCGACATCCCAATTCAATCAAATCCATGATTGCAAACAAAAAAGCATTGCAAATTCTAAGAAAAGTTCTTGAACTGAAAATTACAAATAAAAAAATGTTATCAGCAGTTTTACGAAATTGAGAATGCAGTTGAAAAACTGTTGTTGAACAATATGAAACAAACACAGATAGAATAATTGTTTGCAACGGATAAAATTTCATCAAGAATGTAATTATAAAAATATTAGTATACAAATTTTAAAAATGCATTTTAATATTGTGTAAATAGTTCAATTTTAGAATTTTAATTGTTATTTATCATTAATCAGTTAATTGTTAAAATTTGAATTTTATAAGTAACTTTTTAATTTTTAGATAGGGTTTTTAGATTTTAATTTTAATTATTAGATAGCGTTACCGGAACACCTTACATTTAAAATGCAAATAATACACAATGTTTGGAAATATGTTCATTTGAAACAGAATTTTAAAAAGCAGGAAATTTTCAAGGTGAAAATGTGGTACTCACCTCTTTTAGCAACTTTCCTGTAGTATGTCAATGCAGATTCACAATTCTGAACTAGTCCCAGCCCTGCCCAGTGACGATAACCCTAAATTTACATTTAAATGAATAATACTAATTATTAATAAGTAATAATTAGTAACCTTGCATACAATTAATAAACAAAAAAGAAAATTTATTTACATTACCATGATCATTTGTGCCCAAGTATCTCCACCAAGAGCAGCAAATGTATAATAAACAATAGCCTATTAAAGAAAAAGAAAGGCAGAATTATATTTAAAAAAAAAAAAAAACCCTAAAAATGCAAGACATAAATTTTAAAAGCTTTTCATAAACACGATGTTCTACTTTAAGAAATGATGGATTATTCAGATTTACTCATATACAAATTATATATTATACATAAATATTTACAAAATTATACATTATATACAAATTATATAATTACAGTGTTACTTTGTTTTTGCAGTGTTACATACGTATATAATATATACACACATTAAAAAAACTTACAAAATTTTAAATATTGAAAAAATATATGTATTGTAGTGCTTTTTACAGAAATAATTTTTTATATATATATCAAAGTAGCCAAACTTGAAATATATATATATATAAAAAAAGTGAATTGCAAGAAGGCTCTCATTTTGGCAACAACATTTCAAAAGAGGCCCAGGCTTAGAAACTGATAATCATACATTATATAGTGATCAAAATTTAATTCCTAATGCATGATTCAAGTTATTTATAGTATGAACTATTTATACAGTACAAATTCTGTAATCCGGACTCGTCGGGACTTTGGCGATTCCGGATTAGGGGTTTTTCCGGATTATAGATCATCAATTTAAATCTGGTAGGATGGAATGCAGAAATTATACAATTAAAAATATGAAACTGTAATTTATAAGATAAAGAGCAGTTATGATCTAAAGGGTATCAAAATTTACAAAAAAAGGGGGGCTTAATATTTATTTGTTTACTTTATTAAACATTTCTTTCAATGTAAGTTGTTTAAATTGCTTCGTTTTTTGTGCTAATACTTTTTCTTTAATTCCATAAACAGACATAATTTCTTGTTCAGTTACAAAGTTTCACTGTTCAAGTCCTGTAATTGCTGTGTCGAGAATACCAACTAACTTGTCAATCGAAATTCTTTCATTTTCAATAACCTCTCTGTCACTTTCTTCAGTATCGAAAGCTGTTTTTTTCTGGATCTAGAACCATACTACAGATTTCACTGTGAGTTAATTGATTGAGGATTAGGGCATTGTCGTCGCAATGAACAACTTCTGTTATATCATCTTCATTTATTACTGCTTCTCCACATTTCTTTACAAATTCCAATAACTGTAAAATTTCAATATTAGTTTGCAATGTCCGAAAACCTTCAGATTCGCGTCTATCATCTTCATCATCCTCACCATGAAATATGGTAGCTGGCCATAAATTACGCCAAGCATTTTTTAACATATCTGGAGACACATCTTCCCACGATCTTGCGATGCTCCACACAGCAGATTTTATGCTTAAAAATTTCAAAAAGTCTTGAATAGTCTTGCCATTGTTCAACAAATTTAACATAGATTTTAAAAATGCTACTTTATATTTGTATTTCAGCACATGCACTATTCCCATATCCATAAGCTGAATGATAGACGTACAATTTGGAGGGAAGAATACAGATACATTATCTTTCAATAAAACTTTAAGTGAAGTATGCGCCGAACAGTTGTCAACAATCAGGACTATTTTTGAGTCATCAGGTAAACCAACTGAATTCAAATGTCGCCGAGGCTCGGGTATAAAATAATTTTCAAACCAATCAATCATTCATCAACGCTTGTGTCATCCATGCTGTTTTATTTGTGCGATAAATAACGGAGAAAATCCTTACTCCTTTAAACGCTCGCATAATTTTGAGACGGATATGCCTTTATCCATTTTTTGTAGCAATTCCACTACATTGAAGCATGCTTTCACCTTGTAGATCCTTTGGCAGCTCCAGAATCGGAAACTCTTTTTGACATAATCAAAAGTTCAAGCTTAATTTTTATAAAATTGCTCTAACAGTCTGCAAAAAAATAATAAACCATATCCAATTAGAAGATTAAAGAACAGTGCAATCTGCAACATTAACTGGAATGCCTTAGAATCAGTAAAGATAATTTTAGCCTATCTTATACCGTTCGTTATACATTAAACGTGCATGTGTAAAGCATACAAAAAAAAAAGTTTGTGGCCTTGAGGTCCAGATTATAGATCATTCCGGATAATGGACGTCAGGATTACTGACTTTGTACTGTAGTATGACTTTGATGTAAAATATACACCAGATTGTTGTTGTTGTCTTGTCCATATTACATGGATAATTGGTTACGAGAGCCTACTCTGAAAAGATGTTGGACTTCTATTTTCTACCCTCAATTTTGAGGACCAATTAAAAACTGCCAAAATCTTCATAAAAAATTTCATAAATGTCTAAAGTAGGTTAAGATAATTCAAGTCAAACAAAATTTAGAAAGAAACATTCACTGGCCATCACTAAAAACAAGAGAATTAAATTTATTCCTTTTAAGTTTCATTAACTCAATAAATTTAATTAATTTCAGGTAAATATTTTTCTACAAGACTAAAATTCAAAAACTGGAAATTTTGGTGATTTACTAGGAGAGCAAAGGATGCAATAAAAAACCAGGAGTTGGCAACTATGATATATATATGTAAATATTAAATATTTATGTATAATTATTTGTAAAGCTAAATTATGGGAGTTGGCTTATATTTGAATAAATTAATCTTACAAAAAACGTAAAAAAAAAAAAAAGAAAAAAAAAAAGAAAAAAAAAATTTTAAATCTTAAAAATTAATTTTCCATAGCTGAAAAAGTAATCTTAAAAATTACTTTTCCATAGCTGGGTTGGGTGAAAGCAATAAATCACCAATATTGCACTTTTATATTTACAAGTTTATGAGGAAAACTCATGTTAAATTAAATAAGGTATTCATTTTATGACAATGAGCTGTTTTATTTTCAACATTGTTTATAGTTCTGGTTTGCTGTCATCACAAAACAAAAAATTAAAAGATGTTTAAAAATTTGCACCTGACTTTTTCACCTGAGCCATTCTTAAATTTCTTTTTCACTTACGGAGAAATACCGAGCAGTCATAATGCTGTCAGAAATTTCAGGAAGCGCAAGCATTTCTAATTTAAAATTTGCTATATAAGAATTTCTTTCCCTGCTACGTTTCAGAGGAAAAAATAAAATGGCATAAAAAAATAACACTAGCACTGTTACCACAGATCATAAATAAGATAATAAATGAATAGAAAAATTGCACTAGCTTCAGGTGGATTATCATGTATTATCATGTATAGCAGAATTCAAACTATCATCATTAGCATCTGATGTTGACAATATTATTAGAAAATACTTCACTTGTTTTATTTGCTTGGCAACATTCTGACCGAAAGTTACAGGAATTTTTTTTTTCTTTTTTGAATTTTGGTAAATTTTCAAAGAGAAAATGCATTTTCAACTTACACTCAAAATACACTGTTGTATATATATATATATATATATATTATATATATTGTACATATCTATATATAAGCAAATAGAGTTAGATCATTTTTAGATATGTAAATATTTATTACATATAATATACAAAAACTTTCTTTTTTTTTTTTTTTTTTACTTACTTTTGCCAAGTTGGGAACGACGCCAAGACCAGCAGCATACATCAGGCCCAAATGCTACAACAGATTAAATAAATAAATAAAAAAAAAAATGAAGTAAACTAGATTTTTTAAAGAGGTTATAAACTTTAAAACAATACTAAATGACTGAAATTAAATCAAAAATGTACAGTTAAAATACAAACAACAAACAAGTATTCGGATCTTTTCTGTTATAAGGCATACCACAAAAAGATATAAGTACCAATTTAACCCTCAGACATTACAATTAAGGCTTGAAAACTTTCCTCTAAAGCAGGCTTCTTAAATGTTTTTCAGCTGTGATCCCTTTTTATCAATATTTTTTTCACAACGCCTGGATCCCATAATATTTACGAAAATTTTGTGGGACCGCATAAGCATTGCACTAATTCAACACGCTTGTGAGTGAAAACGTCAATTTTTTCACTTGTACTGTAATATACTATTGCAGTTTTAGATCATTAACTTTAATTTCTAATTTTAAGACATAAAACAATGTGAAAATTTGAAATAAATAACAGACGAAATGACAGCGTTATGTGCAAAGCAAGTAAAATTAACATTTATATTATAAAAAGAATGCGTCGAAACGTTTTCGTTTTTTCTTGTCTTATCTTTACCTATTTTCAGATACATTGCGCAAAAACATTTAGCAATTGCAAATTATTATAATAAGTTAAAGAATATCAAAACTGCTCAAATTTTTGGCGACCCCCATGGGGGTTGGGACAGTTAAAGAAACTCTGCTGTAACATTTCATGGAAACTGGCTTGCACTGAAGTTAGACATGGAAAAAACCACAAACATCAAATACACAGCCAGCCTGTTCACTTGAGATCGAAACCAAACCAGGTCAAACTACCAGTATTCAGCAGTCGTAACTACTGGGCCAATGATGTGGCTCCAAAATGGCATGAATCAGTAGTATTTTATTATTATAGTTCCTAAGTGATCTTCTGACTTTATCTTTCCTTCCTGGAGCTGCAAAAATTTCCGTGTGTCACAAATTGTAAACCATTCTATAATGCATATTTTTACATCCATAACCCTTACATAACATATTACATACATAATCTAATGAGTAAAAACACTTTTGTCATCAGCTCATTTTGAATGCAGTAAAACTTTGAAGCCCTCATTGATATAGTTGCACCTAAGGGCATACTGAGAAGGGGAATCTTAAGTTTTTATGTATGTACACAGTGCAAAAAAAAAAAGAAAAAGGAAAAAAAGGACAGTTCTATATCTCCAGTTCTACTGGGCCAATTGACAAATTTCAAATTACATTTCATGTCTTGAAAGCATGACTTAAGATATATATTAGATTTATATATAGCATTGTTCTAACAGGTATTTTGACACAAAATAGGACTTTTCCTGACATAACATACCAATTTTTTTTCCATATTTCAATTCTACGACTCAAATTATGCCTAGGTATTATATTTTTTAAAATTTGGTGCGAAATTTACGGAGAAATTCAAAAATTTATCTTGGTCCAATTTTTTTCAGTTTGCGCCAAGAATAATTCACTTCACGAACCTCTTAATATGTGGCAATCAATTTTCCTTTCCCTTCCATTATACTGGAGAGGGGAAAAAAGCACCTCGTTCCTACCATTTTACATTGTGAATGAGCAGGAAAAAAGTCACATCATTTCTACTTCCAAATAATTTTAGCAAAGTGTCTAAACCACATTTGATGTTTTAGCACTTTCAACAAATATGACACATTTTAAAATGCGTCAATACATAAATTCACATATATCTTCGGATATTTTGAATAAAAAACTGTAATTTTTTGCAGGTATGCTTAAAAATATGTCTACTTCAAGATGATGGTAAAAATTTTATACATTATAACTAAAAATGTTTTTTGAAAAATGTATAAAAATTATTTAAAAATACAAACTTTAAAAATAAATCAATCATAGAATCATAGAATCGAAATATGGAAAAAAATGTATGTTATCTGAGAAAAAGTACAATTTTGTTTCAAAATACCTATATTAAAACAATGCTATAGCGTATTTGACAGCACATAAGATGCACTTTTTTCCCTAAATTTGGTCTCAAAAAAGTTACCTGCGTCTTATACGTGAAGCACACAGGTTAACTTTCAATACTGAATGCTATTTTTAGCCTGGATAAAGGTCTAGACACGCCTAACTTTTTCTACATCTGCCATAATTATTTTGCGCATGTGTGAAATATCTGTCGCCAAAAAAGCTCCAAAGTTCGAAGCTGATGTCGAAGTTCGAATAGGTTCGATGGTCACCTTACGTCTATGGAGCCTTTCCTTCTTTACATAGACTTTCTTTGACTCAGCCGACACACGTGTCGGTATCAGTGCTACTCGATATAAATGTTTTGGTATCGGTGCTTAAAACTGTTTGTTTAAAAAAAAAATACCCTGGAAAATATGACTACAGGAAACAAGTGATTAAGCTATACAATTCAGTATAAACTAGGGATGTTAAACTATGCCAAAGTGCATGGAAACAGAGCAGCAGCAAGGGATTTCGGTCCACCACCTACCAAAAAAAAAATAGCTTGCCGTTTGTTAATTTTCCTTAATAAAAATATGTTTGGTAATTGCATTCAATGATTGTTTATTTGGCTTTTTACGAAACATGAGAACTAAAAGAAACCACATTTTAAGTTATTGTGGTACTCTAATACATGTTCTAAGTCGCGCTTTCGAAACATGAAAAACGCAAGATGAATTTCGTCAAATGGCCCAATAAAACGGGAGATATAGAAAATGTCCTTCCCCCCCACAGTGTTCCTAAATGTCATTTATAAATAACGACAAAGCTAAAGTTATTCTGCATTTAAAATATTAAAGTTTATTGTGGAAACGGATTTTCAAGAATTAATCTCGATAACTTATATTTGACACCACTAAAGACATTTTTTGACTGTGTGTGCACTGTGCTTCTTGCAATGAAAGTTTTTAAAATTTGAAATTCATTAAAAGCCATCTTGGATTGACAATGAACTCAGTATGGCAAACCTTTCCATTGAAAATGCAGTAGCTAAAAGCATTAATTTTGATATAGATTAACAAAAAAAAAAAAAAAAGAAAAGAAAAGAAAAAAAGAGATAAAAGGGTTTTTTGGGGGGGGGGACTGATATAGTGTCTTGGCTTTTTTTTTTTTTTTTTTTTAACATAAAAAAATGTCAGGTTAATAAAGCTTTTGTAAATATGTTTGTCTCTTATATTTAAATTGCTTTTTCTGGTTTAAACGATTTTTTGTTTTCCAAATACTGTTTTATTTTAATTAAATAAATGTTAATTACATATTCGTGCTGTCATTTTGTATGATGATTATTCCAAAAAGTGGGGCCCTGCATCTGGCCTCCACAGCTGTAGATCTGCCACTGGTTGTACCAGTTAACATTATCTAACAAATAGCATAATATTATCTTCAAGTTGATCAACTTGCATTATTTCAGGTATGGAATCATCAATTATGACATGGTATTTTAATTTCTAATTTTAGTTTTAAAAAGATTCACAGAGTTTTCACTAATAATTTCAATCAAGTCATCATATATTGTCAGTGGTAAATTATTTACAATTCCTTTCATTTTTCAGCTATACTTTTTTACACAAGACAGAATTTTTAGATAGAAAAACCTCAATTATTCAAAATGCTAATAAATACCTCATGTTCAACAATTTTAATTATTCTATGTTCTGCATAGTGTCAATATGATGTTACTTTTGTCAGTGTAAATAATTGTTTTAAAATGTTCATAAATTTTGCTGTATTTATAAGTACAATAAACAAATAAGGATTTTAAGTCAAGAAATCATAGTTTGATGATCATCTGGACATGCTCAAATCGAAAAAAGAAAAATATGTTCAATTATTTACAAGACAATACAATTCTTTCTTTCTTTTCTCTCCCTCTCTTCGTTTGGGGGGGGGTGTTGCTAAAGATAAGCAAAGCAAAGAGAAAACTAGCAAATCACCAGAAGATCTATCAAGAATGACTATCAAGATACAATATTATAAGAACTGGTAATGTTGAAAAACATTTTGTTCCAGTTAAATATGAAAAAGACCATATTATTTCCCGTACTTTTACAGAGGAGAATTTTCAAATAATTCATGAGATTCACACTGCAGTCACTCATTGAGTGGGAAATAGAATGATGAAAGAGTTTAAGACAAGGTATAAGAACATTATAATCAAAACTTTAATGACATATTTAAGTCTTTGTGAACCTTGTCAAAAGAAACAATGCATTTTAAGAAAAGAGCTTGTTAAAACAATTAACAAGCTCTTTTCTTAAAATGCATTGTTTAAATGCAAGCACCGAATTACGTTAGAAGTGTCATACTGATATCAATGACATGTAATCATAAGCAGATGGAGACTTTATAATGGTTTTTCAACACTGTTTAACATAATTTATACAGTTAAAGAGTGTTAACAACAAAATGAGCTGAGAAAGTTTTTTATCATCTGTTAGATGTATTTGCAATATTTGGAGCACTAAGCATCTTGTAAAAAGATAATAACGACAAATTTGCTAATAAAGTTGTTGAAGAAGTTTCTGCAATGTAGAATAAACTCAAAAATGTTTATGGAAAGAAAAGTTATAGTTAATAACGAGGCTATGTTGAAACAGCAAACTATGTTATCCACTTGGTTTGAAACAAAAAATACAACAAAGGGGTCAAAAGAAATAATTCATGCAATTTAGAAAAAATTGAGCATATCACTCATAAATTGATCACGGTCCATCTGAGGTTATATTTGGTAGTAAAACTAAACCAGCTTTAACAACCTGCATGCCAGCTGATACTTTATCAAGACTTACAAATGAAGAAGATCTTGCTGTATTAAGAAATCAATCTCTTAATAATGGCCAACTTCAGACAGTAATCTCAACCAAGGATGAGGATATAAGTCCAATGAATGATCATAACATGAAAATGGAACTGGGTGCTTTGAGTGCAGAGTTAGAGGTAATAACTGTAGTAAGTTGAATCCAAAAGAGAAATAAGAGTGTTTGGCAAGTAGAAGGGGAACAACACAATTCTGAAACAGAAAAGACCAATCATGAAAATGTGAAAGCAAAAGGTTTCATCAATACGAAAGTGGAAGATAATGAAGAAAACAAGATTCTTCTTTTGCACTCAATGAAGTTTCGGAAAATATTCAAGAAACTCGATACTCCAATAAATAAGCACGAAGAAAAATTGTTATGGTTTCGAAGTTAAAATCTGATAATATAGGAGAAACTGTTTGGAAAAGAATACTAGAGGTAGACAGGAGTAAAGCTGATAGCCGGAATGATATCGCTGTTACAATTTCTAAGGACCATAAAAATTTATATAAACTAACTACAAAACTTGACATTTTAAACCAACTCTACATAAGAAATGATTTGACGGTCTACAAGGAAGGTTTTATTTCATTCAATAAATTTCCACATACTGAAATAAGTCCAAGAAAATGTGCTCATAAAAATTCTAGTTTAGGTTGTCAAGGATTTTAGTATTGCAACTGTAATTCAAATTGCTGCAAATGTGAAAATTAAAAAACTCATAGTAACTCTAAATTCTACAGAAACATTTCTAACCAAAAGAATTTTTTTTAATAAATGAAACAATATTGTGATTTCAATGTAATTTGTTTGCATCTGTTTGTTGCCTTAATTTGTTTGCTATAATAAACAATGAATGTATCTTATAATTAACAGTAACATTTTTTTAATACTGACCAAACTTCACTGCTAACAAAACTGTTAATATTGTTACAAAATGCCTAGCTGCGGTAAGTTAGCTTCCCCGGCAAAGCAGGTTTAGGGTTTCCAGAAAATGGCAAGGGTGGGCAAGATTGTCAGATGTGGCATAAAATCGCCCATCTGTTGACATTTGGCGATATACCATTGACGCATGGAGATCATTCTAGAACGAATTGTTGCTGGTTTGCTGCAGAATGTTCTCAAAGGCAGGCCGAAAGCTATATAAACCCTACTGGTACACGGAGTCTCTTGTAGTTTATTGAGTTGATCGTCGTCGATTTGGTCGCCGAGTGTATCATGAGTTAGTGCACTAAGAGTGTGCATAGATTGTTTCACGGTGCTTGTCGTTGTTTTCTGACGACTGTAAATGTGCTTTTAGAGCTGTTATGAGTAATACTGGCTAATAAATTGTATTTTCATTCTTCCTCAAGTCTTGTCATTAATCACTCCATATCATGAACACATAAGAATGCAACAATATATATATCATTTAATGCACTTCATATCACATGACATTAAAATTACAGTTAGAGGTTTCAATTTATCACGCATAATTAATCACAGTAACCATACTTCATTGGTAACTATTAATATTTACCAGTAAATGTGATTATTATGCATTATTTATCACATTAATCAAAAGATAAGGTTTTTATTAATATTAACTGTATTTTTTACTTTGATTATAACATATATATGAATTTAAAAGTTGGTTGCATGTGAATGTGTAAAGTAGTAGTTGCAGTCAAGATCCAAATTAATATTTCTTTGTTTCCATTGACAAACATTTTTATTGCTACAGATTGATGTTCCAGTTAAGCTCAAGGTAGAGATGGATTAGAATTGGGATCATTAATTGGAAGTCGTTACAATTAATTGTTACACTTTTAGATGAAATTGATTTTCACACAACCCTTTCTACTCTAAAAATACACTTTTATTCCATATGCAGTGGCTCCTTCAATGCATACTACCTTACCTTGTTTAATTTTTTTATTTATATTTTTAATAGGCTTCAATAAACTATACCTATAAAGAGATCTTACATTAAGTGCTACACATTGTAGTCAAGTCATACACAAAACTTTTATTTCAATGAAGTATATTGCACTTGGATTAATAGTAGAGTTATTTACAGTGAAACCTCTGTTCATGAATTCATTCATTCCTGAAGGCCATTCAATGACTGAACATTGACATTAACCAAAACAATTTTCCCAAAAAGAATTACATTAGTTCTTATTAATGAGTTAATTTATTACTGGATCACAGATAACTGCTTATTTAAACTTTACAGTAGTTCTTTGTGTAGATGTTCATAAACCAAAATCAATGGGATTTAATAAATATAAAACAAAAAGATAAACAGAACATTAAGCAAATAAAATAGACAAACTCTTAATTTAATTTTACTGTACTTGTATAAAGGTTCTAAATCCAAAAAATATTACTAATGATAGCGAAGAAAGTGACAGAGAGTGTGCTGAGAATGAAAAACTTTTCATAGACAATTTAATGGGAGTGGACTTGTCAATTACAGGATTTGAACAATGGAACTTTTTAACTGAACAAAAAATTATGTATATCCATAAGAATTAAAGAGAAAGTATTAGCACAAAAAATAAAGCGACTTATACAGTCAAAAGTCGTTAATTCGGACACCCATAATTCGGAATGATCTATAATCCGGACCTCAAAACTAAAAACTTTCTGCGCATGCGCCGCGTTGACACATGCGCATAGGCGTTTACGCGTGCGCGTAAGACCTTTTACGACTGCGCATATGAGTGTGCGCAAGTGCAGAATACGTTTTCGCGTACACGTTTTATGTATAATGGACGTATAAGCTAAAATTATCTAATTATCTATTTCAGTTAATGTTGATGATTGCGTGGTTCCTTAATTTTCGAATTGGATCCGGCTTATTATTTTTTGCAGACTGTAAGAGCAATTTTATAAAAGTAAGCTTAAACTTTCGATTATATGAAATAGAATTTCCGATATATATTTTGTTAATACGTAAAGGATCTAAAGCAAAAGTATGTTTTGAAATCCGAAATCTGTTTATCAATTTCAAGCTGCTCGGCGGGGGGATCGCCGCGGCAGGCGCGTAATGAATTGGAAGTTGATCTGTCAACACTATCCTTATCTTCAGCGCAGATGTTTTTATTTTATTTGGCTTATAATTCCTTACCAAATGTAGTATTTCATCTCGATATGCTCTGTCTTTGATATGATTTAAAACAAGTTCCTCGTCATTATAATTCGCTTTCGATAGCGAAGAAAGTGACAGAGGTTATTGAAAACGAAAAAATTTCGATTGACAAATTAATCAGTGTTCTAGACACAGCAATTATAGGACTTGAACAGCGGAACTTTGTAACTGAACAAGAAATTATGTCTGTTTAATAGAATTAAAGAGAAAGTATTATCACATGAAACGAAGCAAAACTTAAACAACTTACATTGAAAGAAATGTTTAATAAAGAAAGTAAACAAATAAATATTAAGCTTTTTCTTTTTGCAAATTTTGATACCCTTTAGATCATAATTGTTCTTTATTTCATAAATTACGGTTTCATATTTTTAATTTTAGAATTTCTGCATGCCATCTTACGAGATTTAAACTGATGATCTATAATCCGGAAAAATCGATAATCCGGAATCGCCGAAGTCCCGACGAGTCCGGATTAACGACTTTTGACTGTATTATACTTATATTTAAAGAAATGTTTAATAAAAAAAACAAATATTCAGCTTTTGTTTTGTAAAATGTCATCACCTCACGGTCATAAATGTTTGATTACTTCATAAACTACTTCTAATTTAAATTTTATAATTTTTATGCGTCATCTTACTAAATTTAAAATGACTATCTAATACCTAGAAAAATCCCAAATTCTGAATTGCCGAAGTTCCAACGAGTTCAAATCTAAAACTCTGTATTGTACAGTCAAAAGTCGTTAATCCGGACTCGTCGGGACTTCGGCGATTCCGGATTATCGATTTTTCCAGATTATAGATCATCAGTTTAAATCTCGTAAGATGGCATGCAGAAATTCTAAAATTAAAAATATGAAACCGTAATTTATGAAATAAAGAACAATTATGATCTAAAGGGTATCAAAATTTGCAAAAAGAAAAAGCTTAATATTTATTTGTTTACTTTATTAAACATTTCTTTCAATGTAAGTTGTTTAAGTTTTGCTTCGTTTCATGTGATAATACTTTCTCTTTAATTCTATTAAACAGACATAATTTCTTGTTCAGTTACAAAGTTCCGCTGTTCAAGTCCTATAATTGCTGTGTCTAGAACACCGATTAATTTGTCAATCAAAATTTTTTCGTTTTCAATAACCTCTGTCACTTTCTTCGCTATCGAAAGCGAATTATAATGACAAGGAACTTGTTTTAAATCATATCAAAGACGGAGCATATCGAGATGAAATACTACATTTGGTAAGGAATTATAAGCCAAACAAAATAAAAACATCTGCGCTGAAGATAAGGATAGTGTTGACAGATCAACTTCCAATTCATTACGCGCCCGCCGCGGCGATCCCCCGCCGAGCAGCTTGAAATTGATAAACAGATTTCGGATTTCAAAACATACTTTCGCTTTAGATCCTTTACGTATTAACAAATATATATCGGAAATTCTATTTCATATAATCGAAAGTTTAAGCTTACTTTTATAAAATTGCTCTTACAGTCTGCAAAAAATAATAAGCCGGATCCAATTCGAAAATTAAGGAACCACGCAATCATCAACATTAACTGAAATAGATAATTAGATAATTTTAGCTTATACGTCCATTATACATAAAACGCGCACGCGAAAACGTATTCTGCACTTGCACACACTCATATGCGCAGTCGTAAAAGGTCTTACGCGCACGCGTAAACGCCTATGCAACGCGGCGCATGCGCCGCGTTGCATAGGCGTTTATGTCAATTTTTGCAATGTCAACGCGGCGCATGTGCAGAAAGTTTTTAGTTTTGAGGTCCGGATTATAGATCATTCCGAATTATGGGTGTCCGAATTAACGACTTTTGACTGTATTTATTTTATAAGTTTTGTCCTATGAAAGAAAACTATTTTACCATTTGTGCAAATGGGGAACCTCTTTCTTTAGCCAGTTTTTCAAACCAAATTCTGGAAGCAGTGAGATTCTGGGCGAAAATGTCTCCGAAAAAGTACGCCTGGCCAACGATTTTCCCGGCTTCGAGATGTTTCAGTTCTGCAGCTTGTTTGAAGAGATCGTACGCTCTAAGATACACAAAAAGATGTACATTAAAAAGGAGTGTAACTTCACAATGATAAAATATGATATTTAAAAACTAGCTAAATTAAAAATTAGCTTTAATAATGAAAAAACAAGTCTGAAAGGATTCAGATTTTAATGGTGACCCAAAAAAGGCTCCTTTGAAGTTTAATATAATTGATTTATCAGTAGAGATTAGCCGGACAGATGGCTCAGATAGAAGAGTGAAATATTTTAGAGGATACTAGATGAACATACAACTAAACTCATGTGAGGAAGTTCTGCTGTTTCTGTCTATTTGAAAACTGAAAAAATATAGAATACCATTCTATAAAAACATCGAATGCTTTTAATCTGATATATCACGAGTTCAATGCATTTTTATGGAAAATAATCCAACTAAAAGTAAAAAATAATAATAACATTCTTAAAAGCTGCATCGACTGTTTTCAGTAGCTTAGTTTATTCATCCCTTACAAACAGATTCAAATTGAAAGGTATATTACATTTTGTGAAATGGCAAAAAACTCGAATAAAAAGTGAAATAATGTATTTAAAATAAATTGATGCAAAATTATGCTTTAAGACTAATAGATCTTTTCGGCTAATAAGACATTCTGCATAATAATTACATTCAGAAAAGAAAAAATATTTTTCATATGACGAACACCTGCTAAAATGGCAATTCACTGAAATCAGAAAAGGGTGTGGGTAACCCCAATGTAAAATTAGCAATGCACCATGCACTGATTAAAAACAAATTATACACAAAATATGAATAGAACGTTGAACCTTCATAAAAAAATTTTATATATATCTACAGAATAAAACAACTCATATTAAATAAAATTTAATCAGAAAAATCATGATGAAAATTATTAGGGGTGGGGAAATAAAATTTGCAAAATTTACACTTCATTAATTCAAAAAATACCATTTACTGCTGAAAAACTCTGTTCTTAGTAAATGCTAAAATTAAAAACTGGGACATTTGGTGATTTACTTACAGATGTCATGGGAAAGGAGGAGAATCAGAAGCTATGAAAATATATAATAAATATCTCAAAACTCAATGCGTCTTGAATAACATACTTGCCTTCTTTTATCTGGCTTTGTTGAATTTAGGATCATGATGGCAGTTTCATATAACACTTTTGCTGGAAGAAAAGGGAAAAATCAATTTTTGCATATCTGAAAATGATAAAAATTAAAACTCTTAACAGATAAAAAGAAACTCATCACACTGAAATGCACGAATGCTACCCCACTAAGAGAGAAATTAATTTCAAAAAACATTTTAAAGCTTAACCCTTTCAGCAATGTTTAACCTTGAAATATCAAAGTTTCTCAAAATCTCATGAATAAATGGTATTTTTTTCATTATAATTAAAAAATGACTTTGTACCTTGATTCCTTTTCTTCCTATATACATCAAACCTGAAATCAGATACATTATTATTTTTTTATGGCAGGCACTAGCAATTTTAGGCTTTGGCCAGAACTAAGGTTAAAAGTGGTGGTTATTTTATTATGGTGGCATCTAATAAGTGGCCACCAATACCTCCTACGAAGGGACACACAATTTACATCCATGCCTTCTCTGGGATTCAAATCCATGCCTTTATATTCGGCAGTCAGAGCCACTAACCATTTTCCGTCTAGGTGGCAAATCGGATACATTAAAAACTGGCAGAAATTTTCATCCATAATGAATATGAAAAGCACCCTTCCGAATTGCTCAACAAATTATTCACCGAAAATTCGGCTTTCTCATCATCTATATGGAATCTTATATCCATAAAGCTAAGAGTGTTAATATACAGTGATATTTTAAGTATTGTTAATTTTTTATTTATACTCAGCAACTAAGATTGCCAGTTATCCTACGTTAAAAAGAAGTCTTTTAACCAGCTTTTTTTCCTTTTTTAAGTTCAGAAAAAATGCTAAATGTTCTTTCTTTTAAAATTATAAATCCCATAAGTTTTTATTTCTAAAGCAGTCCAACTGAATGTTCTAAACAATGAATCAAACTGCTCCTTTTTGATGATAATGCTATACCAACTACATTGTTTACTGAAATATATTTATTGTTCTCATGTCATTTAATGTCCACATTCAGCTTAGCTGTTGAAGAACTAGAGATGAAAAAATTTTGGTGCAGATATTTTCAATGTTTTGATCACCTTAAGAAATAAATTTAAATCTCGATATGATTAGACATTTTTTGGCTTCCAAGTTTGTCAACATTTACAAAGATTAGATGGTGCAGAATCTCAAAAATTACCGAAGACTAAATTATGTCTTTCCTCAGCAATTACTTATTTAAAATGATGAAAATTCTACATTTGACAAACAGTCAATTCTAAGTTTACTCTCAAATATATCAGAAATTTGTTGAAGATTCAAAGCTAAAAGAAAAGCTGTATTTGTATATGGATGACATTTTTGATGAAGTAGCATTCATCCAAAAAACTTTCAAGATCCAAAACATCAAGGGAGCAAATGACCCATTAAAAAAGTGCAGATTACAAAAGTAGGGATATTATAGAAGTAGTTTAGGATGGGTTTTCATCTTCTGCAAATCAGCACACTTGAAATAATTTTTAGTGTCATGTCATCTATGTCAAGGAATGAACAAAAGAGTTTTTCGAATGACTTTATAAAAAAATCACATTTTCTCAAGTTGCCAAAAAGCAGAACAAATATAATTTTAAAAATTAAAAATTGCTCTAGTTTTAAAAGTTTCATTTTTTTTTTAAAGTTTTCTACATTTTTTTTTAAAATTTAGTTCATTCTAATGACTATTCTAATCAACCACTTTTTATGTTTAAGGAGACAATACATTTTTTACCAAAATTACTAAACTAAAACTTTTTTCTTTGTTTTCAAAACTTTAAAAAATTATTCATCCACATGAATTCTGAAATTGTAGTTCAACAATTTACAATAACAAGAAGAAAAGAATTAATAGAAATATATTTTGCAGTGCCCTTCATAGTAACGCAAAAGAGTTGGTTTGGTTTATTGAGATTACGGCAAAGCACACTAGGGCTAATCAGTGTTCAGCGACTTTACCGCTCGGCCGCTGGTGGGCATCAAAAGAGTTGGCAACTCTAACAGAGAGACATCTGCAAAGCAACACTTCGAAATTACTTGTAAATATATAACACAGGTATTAGTACTGCAGAGACTAGCAGTAAGACATTAACAAAAAAAAAGCACTACAAATTATCACAGCACTTTTTTAAACTCAGAAACTCAGTACTCAGAAACTAATTCCTCTTTTTGCACACATAAAGTTCACAAATTAAGGTATTCAGGTTATGATGGTCACAAGTTATGGTAAGGTAGCGTATCACCTGTCTGCTGACTAACCTACTGCCCATGAAACCATGTTCAAAATTGAAGAAACTGATTAATATTACCATACTAAACTACACAAAAGTAGCAGTATGTAAATAAATTAATACAAAGAAATTATACATACTTTTATTGCATTACCAGATTACTGTATTAAATTACACAATATTACCAGAAGAATGCACTGATGTGGGTGGGAAGATGGCTATCATATCGCTCAATGGTCATCATTGCTCTTTAAGCACATTAAAAAAGTAGTTCAAGCGATCCTGTTCGGCATCTGTCAAACAAAGTAGTCCCATTTCACATTTTTTGTCTACAGTCATCATTTTACTACCTAAATCAGATATAAAAGAGCATTGATTTCTCAATCACACTAACATGTCTTGACGTCTTTCAACACGGTCAGAAATACTAGTCTCCACTGTTGACACATCGTCATCACAGCTTAACAAGTTGATAAGGCAACATAGCGGGTGCTGCTGCTCTCTCGTATTCCATGCAATTATTTGCTTATTCCACTGAGGACCATGATCACATATACGTGATCAAGCCCTGGGTCATGAAGGCAGAATCGCATGATCCTATGTATGTGATTCTCCCTTCAGTCCACAGTATCATACATGTGACCAGCCTTTTCAAGTCTTAAAGCCTGTGATCACACTGGTGATTTTAAATCAGAACATTTTATTTAAATTTTTAAACAATAGATGGCAGAATGTTCCACACAGCTCTGAACTTCAACCTGCCCTATCGGTTCTGATTTTCTTCTTTTTTTTTTTTTTTTTTTTTTTTTTGTTAGATCAAGGGAATTTAAACATGTAAACAACTGCACAATGAACACTATTTTACTGTATGCTAGACCTTTGTTTATATTTTGATGAAAAAGTCAATAAGAAAATGTATAGTTTGGAAAAACATTTCTTAAAAACGAAAAAATGCAAGTTAACTTATTATGAATGCAAAACTTTCAATGTAATGTTTTGTCCCAAACAATGTTTTGAAGTACCATTAAGCTTCAAAATTCTTATATGTTATTTAGTAATTTTCTTACATTTATCTTATATTTCTTACAATCAATTTTCAAATATTTTATCTATATTTGAATACGTGTGTGCAAATTTATAAAATTTTTGTCATTTGTATACACTGTTGGGGGGAAGGGGACAGCCAGGTTAATTTTTATATTTCTTAAATTGACAGGTAAATTTTAATATTTGCTAAAAAAAAACTATTAAGCTAGTATACAGACGCAAACAGGACTTTAAAATGTAAATAATTCATTCATTTCATTATACTTATGAAATTTATTTGGATATATCATATAGTTTTACCAGTAATTTGTTCAAATTTTTAAAGTGTCCATTTTTTCTAATAGTATATATATATATATTTAAAATTTCCATTGCCTTTTTTCCTCCCCAAATATCACGAAAATTTTATGACAGTATATTCAAATACTATCAATGGTAATACACTGTAAATTTCAACTATTTAATTGCAGTAATGATTTTCAAGAATTTTTGAATGAAATCATGCTTAACAGGGAAAACCGCTTAATCCCCATGCCAATGCATAGTTTCAGAGCAAGCAGAGGTACTTCTTTCTTCTATTGCCAATCATGAACAGGTTAAGATGACCCTATACACATATTATCATCTGAGTATCTACGTCACCAGTAGAATCAACAAAATTCATCTGATGACTTGCTGTCAGGTGGATGTATCCCATAATACATATTTAATAACAAAAGGCAAATAGAGATGAAGTCACTTGTTACAAACATGGCCTGGTATGTCAGCTATTGGGAGACTATCAAAACATCTTCAAGGTTTTATTTGGTTCAGTTTATCAGTTTTCCTTGGAGTCCCATCGTCATCCTTCAGGATTCTATTAAACTTCACGGTTTCATCTTCATGCTTGAGGATTCCATCATTCTTCAGGGTTTTACCTTCATTTTATGAAAAACGCAGGTTAAAAGATGAAACCTTCATTTGTTTCTGACATATAAGACTTTTTCTCTTTTCTTTTATATTAGAACAGTGTAATTCTTATCAAAGTAACTTAAATTTAATTTTAATAACATTTTGGAAGAAGAAGAAGTAGTATTTTTCTAATTCTGGTAACTTTCTTATTAACACAATTTATACAACACACCACCTGGTGTCACAAGCCTCAGATGCTAGAGTAAGATCATCTTAAACAAATAATAGCACAGAATATGAGATGAACAACACCTCTAATACTGCTTTTTCACCTTGCTAAACTGTGATGGCAAGGTGTCGATGATGGGGACATATTTTCAAGGAGACGTCAGGACAGGCTTACATAAATGAAAAACAGGGATAGCTATAAATGTTTCTTTTCTATCTGATTAGGGTAGTAAAATGATGATTATAATAGACGCCACTTAATGTGATTGCAGTTAATGTTATCGTTCAGTTATTGCCATCGATTTGCCCATTTGTGTACTAAATCGTGGCAAACATATTGCTTAAAATTTTGATAAATGTTATCAAAATATTAAAAACGATTACAGTATAATTTTTTAACTAAAGTCATCAAATAAGGTTAATATAGATTACAAAAGTTGTCAAATGATACAGAAATGTCACCAAGCGAGAAGATATAGTTTGCTTTTGATTTCACTCAACTGTTTACTGTTTAAAATAAGGCAAAAAAACAGACTTAAATTGACGTAAATTTTGAAGGCAATCAGACACAAGTCTTTCTTCTTCAGAAACAAAAATAATATTGCAAATATTTTTATTTCTCCTTGAAAAAAAAAAAAAGAACCATGTAAAAGAAACAAAGATTACTTTGCTTAATTTAAAATTTTACACTGGCATGTTCTCTTTCAATGAAAGCATGCTTTCTGAATGTTA